CACAATATAATGATTAATTAATTACATGTGTTAATTTATATGAAATAACAGAATTCTTAACAGACTGAAAGAAATTTTTAAGCCTATTCAATAGGCTAAACAGTGTAAATAGTCTAACAAATAAAAGGCAAAATGTGTCAGAACATTAACTCGGTTGCATTATGCAAACTAAAGAATAATAGGATTTGAATTTAGATACAGGCTGCATTCAAATTATATTTTATCATTGCATGCATTGCAGATGGCGTATGTTATATCAGTCTCACACACTTTGTAAAAGTTCCACATGGCCAACAATTTGTATTGTTTTGTTGGCCTGTCTTGCGCCGGCGCAGTGAACAAGGTGGGAGAGGGGACTACACTAAGAAGCACACAGGGCTTTTCTCAGACACAGACACCAGAATGTTAACCACGGGTGAATAGTTTTAAGGTGTTTGGTGACTAAAAGCATGAATTCCAATCTCCTGATCACGTATTTTTAATGATAATCAGGCGATAATGATTGCCAGCTGATCAATCGGGGCATCCCTAGTTAAAATAAGTACTTCAAAACAAAGAGTCTCCTGTGTGAAAGTCGTGTGCTGACCCATCCTTTCAACTATGGGCTAGTTTTTTTTACAGAACAGTGTCCTGCGATTGATGTGCAGTTGTAGTGGGGCCTGTATAGTTTACCTCTCAAGCCCACGCACTAATGTGCTGTATATCTAGGAGGGATGAGTGTTAGCATAACATAACATAGAAAACAAATATTACAAAGTGGACATTAACCTTTTTTAGTAGTGTCGTCAGTTTCTTTGTGCAAGTAAGTACCAATGCAAATGTCAGCCTGTTTTTGAGTGAAATCAACTGAAGAAAGAGTCTGTATGCTCCAGCAAAATATTTTAGCACTCCTTCACCACCTGTGATCCCAGGCATGGTGGTTGACCCCCAGGGAGGCAGCAGGCTCAGGCATGTAATCGATGAACACACAGTAGAGTGAACACAGAGAACATGTCCTTACCTGAGAGGACGTCTCTCCCTGTGTCTCCACAGAGTGATTATGTTTTCATCCATATGGTTGGGGTCACCCATGTATCCTCTGCTGATTCAAGCATTAACATAGAGGTAGTGTTCATTATATGCATTTGGGTGAAAATAATTGATGAATTGAATATTGGAACTGTGTGCTGACTCAGAGGACGTGAAGCTGGACTGTCACATTGTCTGTTAACAGAGTGTGAATTTTGAGGTTGTTGAGACTGCACATGTTTGGCAGGTACTGTAGGCACTTTGTGTGTATTTGATACATGTGTATAGTTCTTCACAGGCTTTCTAGTTGAAAAATGTCACTGTGACTGAAAAGTCACAGTGACATTTCTTCTGTACAGTCTGTATTTATGGATTCCACCATTCATAATGTGTCAGTCTGACACTTTCTCTTCGTGGGAGCAGGCTACCATCACACATTCTGTGTCATAGATATCGGTGATGATGCACTGTGAAGCTCTTGGGGGAAAAAATACAGGAGGTGTAGCGTTTTTCTTTGGGTCTGAACTAAGAAGCCCAGGTACTTATGAAATCATCATGATTTAAAGCTGCATTAACCAATATTGCTATATTAAAAATGTGCTCTGCCAAGCGTTTTAGCATCTTTATGCTCATTGTTTAGGTTTTCTGGCCAGCAGATTTAATGTTATGTTCAGTTTTACCATCATCAGGCAGCTGTTTTTTGCTGACAAACTGATAAACGTGTATGCTACATGCTACAAAGTTAACAACTGGCAGATAAAGAGCAGATATTTTCCGCAGCGGTTAAACGAGACCCAAACAGCAAAAAAGAGACAGAAACATGAATTAAAATGAATGCTAATGACCGTGAGTCTTCTGGTGACTTGATAATGTCATTGTTTTGTTTTCAGCTTGTTTTACTCACCCCAAGTGGCTAAAGAAATCAATTGATACAGATGAAACCGTAATATGTTTGCATGTCGGCTGAGTAGTAGGTAACGTTTTTGACAAAAAATGAAAGTAGCTTTACATTAAGATATATGAGAACATAATAGAAAAGATCTACTGTTGAGGGGTCAAGATTTTAATGAATGTCACTGACTTGCTGACATCTAAGAGACACTGATGTTCAGTCATTTCCTGTGAGCAGGGAAGTGTCCAGACCTGACGTTAGAATTTTACCCGGCTAAAACTAGAGATTTCCAGTCAGAGAGGAGGAGGCTCTCCTCACTGCTGCAGAGCTCCTCTGTGATTCAGGGTGAGAACACAGATTTATTTTTATAATAAAAAAAAGTCACCTCATGCTGCTTTAACAGTACATGTCTGCTGAATGTGTGGAAGCAGCAGAAAAGACTGATGAAACTATGGCTCTAAGAACAGGAACAGCTGGTGCACTGACACCCGCTGTCACCCAGCACTTGATGCCACCATGTTACCATGACAACCGGCTGAGCACCCTCTGTTTCTGACAGCTGTTCCCATGGTGCCTGTGCTTGGCTCAGCCCCTGGACTGCCATTGGCAGGATCGATAGCTTCTCGGGGTCAAAGGTGACGTTAATGACGTTGCTTCTGTGGTGGTGTCATGTTCTTTTTCCATTTGAATTACGGATTTGTGTCAACTCCAGACTGCATTTATCATTAATTTAGGCGAAACCAAAGCCTACTCAAAACATTTTTGTATGAAAACATTCATGTGCAGTTCAAATTCATTCATGGGTGTATTTGAATGTAGAAACATTTCCACTTGAGACCTTTATCTGTGTCTACAGTTACAGAATTCTTCTGGATGCTTTATCACAGTATCTGTTACAGCTGTTCTAAGCTTCACCCTGTCCTCTATTGCCAAGCACAATCAAAACTAGTGATGGAGAATCAATGTGATGGTGTAAAACAATGATTTCATGGTACAGGGATGATCTTCATTATGTTTACCTATTTGACTGAACTTTAAAGCGCCTTGCTTTGGCATGATAGATGGTACCAGGGCTTTGATGTTAAGCCCCTAGGTTATTACGGCTAGTTGTAAAGTCTCCTTCAGGGATTTCTTACAAAACTTCAGCATTTAAACTTAAGCATAACATACCAAATATTTGAGAAAAGTATGTAAGATTTTTGTGTGTAACAGAGGATGTTTCATTCTGTAACCTTGACATCCCTGTGTATTTTTCCAGAAGTAGTGCAAAACAGTTCAGCATGGCTCAGGAGGTAACGCAGGTTGTCAACTAATCGGACAGTCAGTGGTTCAATTCCCCACTCCCCCGGTCTGCTTTTTGAAGTGTCCTTGGGCAGGACACTGAACCCCAAACTCCTCCTGATGTATCATCAGTGTGTGAATGTGTGTGTATGTGGTAGAAAAGCACTGTGTGAATGAGTGAATGTGGCTTCAATTGTAAAGCGCTTCGAGCGGTCGATAGGACCAGACGAACGTCATATATAAGTGCAGTGCAAGTGCAAAGAATCCTTATTTCATTTCTTTCACATTTCATTCAACATTCCTTGTGACATCATCACTGTCCCTGTTCCAACCGTTCCCCGTCTCAGCTGATTGGCCAAGATGCGTCCCAGTCCGCTAGTCACCTCCCTGTTTCATCTGTGCATGGTGGCAGTCTGCTGTGTCTGCTCTAGCACTGGCTACAGACAGCTAGAAAGGCTGTGGTAAGAGGAATGAACAACTCGCTTGTCTTCTCATTTCCTGGACTTGAAAAGGTTCTGTTTGGCATCTTGTGAAATTTTTTTTTTTCCGGGAGACTGTATACTTTGTGGAATTACATAAGGTTTTGTTGGACAACTTGCTTTTTTCAGTGAAGACCGAAAAAGACAACTTCCAATTCTATTCTGTAAAGGCACAGTACTGTTCCTGGGCTTTGGATGGCTTAATGGTGGAAGAGTTTTACTGGTATGATTTCTACCACAAAAAGCTGCTGACACCAGATCAGGTGTTATGTCTTCTACCTCGTTACTACCCAGCAGCTGAGCACTGTAGACGGGAGGACATGTCTGCTTTCAACAGACCCAGGTGATCAATTTAAATTGAAAATCTGTGGGGTTATTGGACTGTTGGTTGGACAAGACAAGCTATTTTAAGTTATTTACCTTGCTATCTGGGGACATGTGATTACAGATTATAGACTAAACTGACTGCTCTGTTACACTTGTATTTATGAATTTTCCAGGGTTTTTCACTCTGAACTATTAATCAGAGAACAGGAGGTGTTCAGTGTTGAAGGCCTGCCACATATTCAACTTCCTTATTAGGGTTAACAGATTTAATATGAATGGCCCATTTTTACTTCAGCAAATCTGTGAATGTCAGTGCAGTGCATTGTCTTGATGAATTTCTCAGTTGACAAATAAGTTGCACAAACGACTGTAAAGCCAGTGTGCTGCCAGAGAATTAACTGGAGTTTGTCTACTTCTACAAATCGGCAAATTAACTGCAAACCTGTGAATGAAGCCATCTCCTTCCTCTCTATCTCTCTCACTCAGAGAGGCAATTAAAGCGCCTGTCTGGGTCCCCTATATGAGCCATGGTATGCTAATGCAGTATTCCTTTGACAGTTTTGTTGAGACAACATTGTGGGTGTTTTCACATGGCCTGATTTGCAATTCACACTTGGGTTATTTCCACCATGGGCGGAAGCAGGGAGGGGAAAGGCTGTGAGCCGCAGAGAGCAAAACTGAGCCGAAGTTTCATTTAATTGCGTGTATGATTTTTTTTGAAAGGCACCTTTCAAGTGGTGCTCTAATTGCCAGTTATTTTGCCCCAACTGAAATGTTGTTCTCAAACATGCGCATGCATTACATTGCTTTCTGTTTCTGTTGGATTTATTTATTTAAAAAATTAATCACCTATACAGAAATTCCTCCACAACCTTTTCTATTTTTGTTTGTATGAATGTATGGATCTCTCAGAACAGCGCTGGAGGGTTACGCTTATCAAAGTACAAAAAGTTTGTGGGTGCATGATGTACCATTAATGGGCAATCTTCAACTTTTCTCTCCCCTCCTCTCAGAACACTGCACCAGCAGTTTGAGAGCTACAAACAGGAGGTGCGTCGCATCGGGGCGGAGACACGACGTCAGCAGACCCAGCAGAAGGATGACGCGCCCACCTGTGGTATCTGCCGCAAGACCAAGTTCGCCGACGGCTGCGGTCACCTTTGCTCCTACTGCCAGACCAAATTCTGTGCTCGCTGTGGAGGGCGGGTCTCTCTGCGCTCCAACAATGTGAGAAACCTGACCTCTGACCTCCTCATTTTTCTTTCTTCCTCTCACACTCACCTCATTCCCGCTATAGTTGATGTACAGTTAGTCCTTCCGCTTCTGTGTGTTTGTTAATGTCTGCTTTTTTGCTTCCTGGTCACACTTTGGTGAGAACAAAGTGTATTGGAAGAATGGCTTGGCACCAGTCATTGGCCCTTCAAGATCCATTTAAGTCTGAGGCTGTAGTGTTGTGGTATGGTTATAAAATGAAACACTTAACCTCACTTGAACATGAAAGCACACCAGTTACAGCATCTGTGTCATCCTGTGTCTCCTGTGACTGCACTGCAGCCATCAAGCACGCATGTCAGGCAGTGACGGTGCTGCTGCTCTCAAGCAACATGTCTAAACTAAGACCAGGACCAGTGAGAATAACAGTTGTGGTTAGCTTGTATTTGCAATTAGCGGTGGGAGATCTTCAACTCAAAATCATCCATGACATACTGTAGGATCGTCAGATTGCCCACTTTTATTTGCAACAGTTGGATTCCAACCTGGCAACCTGGTTTCACATCAAAAAAAGTAGCTAAATGTTCAAAGAATTTCTCTGGACTTTTATCCACTCTTGCAGCATCATCCACTTAGGCCAATGTGCTGTCTATCTCTATGCTCAGTTTGTTCCAGTCACTTATATTTTCACTAAAACACTGCAAAAGACAAAGCTTCCATTGTAAGCTAGCAAGATTAGCTTGCTGAGTTTTGGAACATACTGAATGTATGGACAGACATTAGCACCATCATTCTACAGGCAACTACATGCAGTGAGTATTTAATAGGTTCTGAGTGGTGTATTCCTTTTATCATTAAACATTTATTTTATACTGCTTATTAAAGAGGATAGCAGTGAGGGTGGAAAAGCTATGATGATATGTAAACAAGTGTCTACAGACATGCTGGTGGTGCCGTGAGGCCGTATTTATGCGCAGCGGTGTGCTAAACGAGCTAAATGCTAACTTCAGCATGCTCACAATGAAAATGTTAGCATGCCAGCATTTGCTAATTAGCACTAAACACAAAGAGGTCATCTGAGGCTTATATTCCAGGTGATTGGTCTGAAACTAAATGGCACCAGAGGAAAGTCAAGGAATTATTAATAGATCATCCCATGGGGAACATTAATGTCCAAAGTGCATCCAACTTGTCCAACAGTCAAACAAACAAATAAACAAAACATCTAATAACTTAAACCCATAATGCACCGAAAACACCAAATAGTACCACACTTATTCTACAAACTCAAGCAGCAACGTTATTATAGATCAAAGACCAAAACTATAACGCCCGATTATAACCATTAAGAGGAATCTAGCTCTCTACTACCAGATTGGATCAGTGTAGCATCCATCCATAAACCAAATATGTTTGTGCTATTTTAAGTCCCAGCCCTCTTCCATGCAACCATTCGCTGGGCTCTCCTCCAACCCAAGATAGAGGACCTCCTCCTGGGTGTCTTACCTGACGATGGGCTCTCCACCCTTGGCCTGCTGGTCCCCAATCTGTTCAGAATCCGCCCATCCCAGCTGGGACTCAAACTGGCACCACATGTATGCAGAACTCGAAGGCCAGTGAGACTAGGGGATAAAGATAGTATCCCTGTTGGTAAAGCCATTAATATTACTTTCACAGCAGGCAGGCTGTTACATGGAAATCAAGAGACTAGCAGGATGTTAATGCAATCTATAAATAAAACAAATAAAAACAACAACTAAAGATTCATTCGAAGGGGAATTGTGCTCAAAATAACATCAATCAATATGGCCTTTTTTAATAAGGAAGGTTTTATTATGGAATTTAATGCCTTGAGATGATACTTAGCATCACTTAGAAGTGGAATATCAGGGACCTAAATAATTTAACTCCGTCAAAAGATAGGAGGATTTACTGCAGATGTAATGTAGCCTGCATATATGATTGTCCCATGTGTAATGAGTAACTCTTATTGGAGTGTTTGTGTGTATGTATGCGTTTATGTGAGAGTGTGTTTTTGTCTGTGAGTCTGCAGTGCCATTTTGACATGAAGAATCAATTAATCAAGTAATCTATTTGTGTCCTGTCAAATTAATTGGGATTAGAAGACACCAAATACAAAACATATTTAATACCTCGTTCCTTTGGTATGTTAACTTCTATGTATGTTGCTGAATTTCTACAATTTAATCTATAAAGTTCTTATAAGGGATAAGAGAACACAATTTCTTCTATGTGTGTACATTTGTAAATGGTTGTGTGTGTCTGTGTGTGTATATAATGTGTGGGAGGGATATGTCGGAAGTGAAACTCCTTTAGTCTCAGCAGTGCTTGCCTCTGTCCTGGGTTGTCCAGTAGGCCAAGCAGAATAACAAGATTAGGAGTGTGAGCTTTGTTTCAAAAAACCCCTCTCTCCTGCCTTCAGTGTGTTCATTTACCCCACATCAGCAGCACACTGTGTTTTCCTCCAGCTAGCTTTTAAAGCATGAGTGCACAAGTACTTATGGGTCAGACCACACCCATCTTTGAACACGGCCTTGATTTTCATCTCAATTACACACCTGTAAAGTTTTGTGACTGTGTCTTGCAGGTTGTGGTGCAGTGTCAAAGTCCTCAAAACCTCCTCTGTGGTAGTTCTCGCTAGAGTAGGTGTCGTCAGGACCATGTTGACACACATACACACACACACACACACACACACACAACGTGAAAACAATACCAGCCAGCCACGTTCTTGCAGCTGGTAACAACAAACATTTTTTCTAATCTACCACCAGTGGTCTCTGTAAATGGTCATTTATATTCTGCTTTTATCCACTCGCTTTACAACTTGCCTTTCATTCATTCATTCATGCACAGCTGATGTCAGCAAGCTACCATGCAAATTGCTGGCCTCACCATTGGGGCACTTTGGGGCTCTGCGTCTTGTTTTGAGGACACTTCAGCATGTTGACAGGAGGAGCTCGGATCAAAATGTAGTTTTACATTTGCTAATAGTAACACAGTACCACAAAATGTGACAAATGCCATTTTGAAGCCGTACCAAAGTACCAGGAAAAAGTACAAAATGTCATATGTAGCCTGCATACACAGTATATGTTTTAATGACCCTTATTTGAACCCATGAAAAATACTGAATTCAAGTCAAATACCCCTTAAAAAAGTATTGAGAACCACTTTAATATCAGTTCTCAGAAAACATGTCACACATGTACATGTTACTATTATTACTAAAATTAAAATGTTGTTGTAAAAATATTAGGTAATAAACTTTTATTGTAATAATTCATCAGTTCCTGTTGACAGAGCAGTGCAGTGCTGCCCTGTGCCCTGCAGAAGGCATCACAGCAACAAGCAGATACAGACGCCATCCAAGCTCCCCCCTCCACTCCACACTGTAATGGACATACTGTGTTATTAAAGCAGAATTAGGAGTCATAGATTTATTAATTTGTCTTGTTGGAGTTACATTAATTCATAGGGTTCATTAAGTAGTAAAATTAAGTAAAATCAACCTTTGTACCTCTTTGAATCCTGACATCAAAACAAAGATAATCAACTATTATGCATCTTAATGATCATTCCAAAGTTGTTTTTTATTTTGCCCTATCAGCAACATTTTAGGAGATTTCATTAAAGCATAAGACAGAAGAAGCAACAAAGTGACTTTAACATGTGAATATTTGATAGATTAAAAGACACGGAATGATTTTCTATGACAGTATATTTCCAGAAAGTTGGTTTAGTAAAGTTAAGGGTTGTGGAAGAATGCTCCATGTTGCTTTTGGTGTCCCAGTTTCCTCTGTGCTGAGGAGCTGTGACACATCCCAATGTTGTCACAGGTCATGAATCACTCCTAGGCCATGCCAAGCTGGGTCATGCATGTCGCTGCACCCTAACATGTCAGTGGTCACTTACATTCACATACTGTTGTCCTGACTGCCTCAGACTGTCACTGAATATGAAGTATGTGTATCAGTTCTGCAGAATGTGATTAACAAATGTTTGCACCACACCCCCCCCTTCCCTTCCTCCTTTATTTTTTTTCCATTCTTTTCCCACAATCTGTCAAATCTCCTGTTTCACAAACTCACCCTCTCTGCATCTTTATTTCTTTTATGTTCTGTCATATCTTTCCCTCCTTTCCTTCCTTGCTCCACTTCCTCCCTCACTTTTCTCAATTCTCACTGCTACCTGGACTGCATGCATCAAAGGAGGACAAAGTGGTTAGCATCTTTTTTGTGTTCTCTCTGTGCTGTGAATATGATGTCTGTGCAACCTGAAGGTAAAAATGCTGGCTGTGTTCAAATCTGGAGCTGAGATCTCTCTTGTCTGTTTTCAAGCTGACTTCTACTCTGGAAAAGTGACGTAAAAATATTTCTAAATTTAGTTTCTTTCTTGTTGGCCAGACCTATAATTTCTCAGCTGAAAGAAAGAGGGTTGAAAAACCTACATCAGATGCAAGAGAGTGAGCTATTGGATTGGAATGGAGCCAGTGTGTGTACAAATCCACTTATGGATTACTGACTTAACTAAACAGAGGGAGTCCCTGATAGTTCATAGTTTCTGTTAACTTTGATTTCTCAGAGAAATTACTGTACTGTGTGGGGCGGAGCCACCTGGAGCTATTGTGTCCACAGCAGATTTGTTCTCTAGCGTAAACCCTGACTAATTCTATGTCCATTGTCTGTCTCCTCCCCCTCCAAAGTGTCTCATAGTGAAGGACAGGGTAAGGCTTGCTGGGTTTTGCTGCATGGGTCACTACTATTGTCTCCCCTTCACACTCGGGTCTGTGCTCATTCACAGCATCAGAACAGGAATTCAGACCCACAATCAGTTTTTGTCCCACAGATCAATGTGGATAAGCAGTCCCAGGGCAGCTGGCTGGTGATCGTGCATCACTACTCTAATTCTGAGAATGAATGCAGACCCTGAAAATTTAACTGGCGGGCAGAGTGAGCATGAGCCGTAATATAGGCTGTCTGCAGGGGTGTCTG